TCTTTTTCCACGAACTAGAGGTCACTAAAAGAACCCAAAAAACTAGAGCCTATCAAAAGCCATTTGCCCTAATAAGTGTTTCATGTCTAGGCCATCTACCGATAACATCTCTTTCAGTTAATTCCCAACAACCGGCTTATCTCAAGGAGCCTAATACAGCAGGACATTGCGCTTCTTCTAAGGCTTAAGAAAAAAAATTCGCATCAGGCTTTTGTGACCAACTATGAATACGTTTCAAAACTTCATAATGCTTAAATAAGAACTTAGTCAGCCAAAATCGCTTAAGGTGATTAGGGAAAAAAAAGTGGAGTTTTGTCAACAACAAACTGAGTAGACCTAATGACGATATTAAGCTTATTTAGCCATGTCCCACAAAAGTTTGTGACTGGCGCGAATAAACGTCATACATGAGTTCGTTGTAGTTACGGACCACTGCAACTTAGGCATAGCCGATGAAGCATGGGGCCTCAGACTGTTTAGTATTCTTTGTTCTACCAACCTGGGCCTGGCCTAGCGAGGGTTTTAGGCCATTCTAAAGTTAAGCTTTTAAGATGAAGTGCGGTCTGAAATTCATTGACATCGTAAAGTCAACTCACTTCATTGTAGGAAAATCCAACGCTTTGTCCTACATCATATAATGTCATTTAAGGTGAATAAAGTAGTCATTCCTTATGGATTGAGAGACTAGAAACATCTAATCCAGGTCCCTAATTACATGGTGGGGAATCCAACTCCCATGCGACTTAAGGTAAATATAGCGATAGTACAGATAGTACAGAGACTTATCAGACATTTCCACGTATTTCATAATACGTATATTGAAAAGAAGGTCTAACTGAATATCCACGGAGAACCTCAAACTTGTCATTCAGGTTAACAACTTTAATTGTAGAAAATTAACTTATCCGAACTACCAAGCTAGGAACTCGTCAAAAAGACAAGACAAGACTTGTCTCTTGGACGAGTTCGTAGCTTGGTGGGGAGAATGGCAAAACTCACCGATGAAACCGACTACGATGTCGACGAAACATTTGAGAAGGCACCAAGTCCACCGTCTGATGCTGGGAATCATGGCAACTACTATGACAGACGACTTCAGACTAGGTGCGTTCTACCAAGTCGCCCTGACAACAGAACCAAGTTGCGACAACGAGTTCAACCCACTTCTATAAATCGAAAGGAGACTGCTACCATACCAGAGGCCATAATACCTTGGTCTTCATATCTTTAATTATTTTTAGTTTATAAGTAGGTTTCGAGACTACCAATAAATAAGTTAGCTTAATCCTTTTAAGGTGATTAGGTGCTGGTAGTTGAATTTTCCCAAAATGATATGAGTAGAGCTGATACCTCTACCCTGTGACCAGTGGTACTCATGACAATGTGGCTTAGTGGTTAATGCGTCGAGTTTACACGCTGTATTGTCATGGCTTAACCTCCGTTGGGGGTGCTTATAAGACTTGGGCAAAGTAGAAGCTGCAGTCCATCCTGGATGAGAACACCTTTTTGGAAAGCAGGGCTCTGTGAAATCCAATGGAAACATCAGCTCTGCTCACATCATTGTGGGAAAGTTCGACTACCAGTCCTTCATCACCTTCAACGAAATAGGATGAATGTATTTTATACAAGAAGAATTAATTTATTAAGTCAATTTTAATCATTAGCCTGAAACAAACTAGTCAAGGTTTGGTCATTCCATTATCAGTTTTTTTGACTATAAGTTAAAAATAAATCATATGCGACCTAAGACTTATTCACAACTTGTAATTTGATATGGAGTAAGCTAATCATGACTTCGTTATAGTTTAAAAAGATATAAATTGACAAAAAGCCATATTCCATATTTAATTATACTTTGAATAAAAATGCAAACTAGGTCTACTCCTTCTTTGACTTGAAAGGTGAAATTTCAATCCTGAATTATTTTATGAGACTTAAGGTAAATAAACGTCTTCTATGTGATCTACTGATATTTGATTATCGTCCATTCATTATATTGTGGGCAAACTCGTTCATCAGTTGAATAATGTGCGCATATCATCTCATCAAGGACGATTCATTTTATGATGGTGAATTTTAATCAGCACTCCTCCGTTGTGTCGTCCGGACGACGTCAATAAACTCACCTTTTACGGATTCCTGCTACATTGTAGATGACAGCTATACTTAGCACCATGATACAACTCATCAAGGAGACAAATTCTTCTTCATGTTGTATTAATAGTCTCGAAACAGCTCCTTCCTATCTTCGCATTTTGTCTATCGGAAGTCTAAATATCAATTCTTTATCATCTTAACATACCTAAGGGGGATAGAGTTCCTTTAAATGCATTATTGACGCTCAGCAAATATCTGATCCAGGTCTGCTCCACTCATATTTTGGAAATCCAACCTTTATTATTCAATTAACATGAAGACTTACATGTTAATAATCACTAAACAGCTAAACCAGATATGCCTATTCCATTTTAAGGAAATTATACTTTGAATCTCAAAGCATCTCAAGCAACCCTATATGAATAAAATCCTTGCTCATGATCTACTGACCGTCTTGTGTGCATATGTGCAATACTCGCTTCACAGTCCACACAATTGCCATCGTCCGATTTTCAGCCCTTGGTACTTCAAGTGGTCCTGAGAGTCGGTAGCATGATTATCTATTATATTGTAATTTCGGGCATAATCAATTCAATCTGATCAGCATAACTGGGCTAACCGTATTGTAAACACACACGTTGATGTGTAAATATTAAGGAATTATCAATAGCTGACTCTGGACTAATTGACAGATGAAATTCATTATTCTCAAGACAAAGTGATGCGCACTAATCAATTGGCTAATGTAAATTTTTATTAAAAGCCGAGCTTTTGGCATTGACCACTTCAGTAAACATTGTGTCTGAACCGACCGGCCAGCCATAAACGCATTGTCAGGCAACAGGGGATAAACTGGTCACAGATAAGTCTTGAATCCCGTGGCATCACTTCGACATGGAGGAGGCTAATTCTGGTTTGGCATATTTGGTTCGTTTGGTACTACTTATTCAGCTCATTTTTGCTCAAGCACAGCCAAGTCTACAACTACCAGGAAACCCGAGTGAATATGAATCTCGTGGCGTGGCACGACTTAACAAGAGCAATGTTTGTCTCTATCTGAAGTGCCAGGGCTCCAGCTCTCTAAACCATTGCTGGACATGGGGCCTTGAAAGGATACCTCCAAACAGGTGAGTAGAGATTTGCTTGCTATTGCCTTTCTCGCAGGGTTTTGCGTGTGTTTAGGTAGTTTGGTACCACGCCATGTGTGCACCTTTTTGACACTTTCACAACTTTAAGGGCTGCAGAGAATCCTTTAAAACTCCTTCGCAAAAGGGATGTTTGCAATTTCCCACAATTTATGGACTTGCATGCGCATAAAGTCAACGCACTATGGAAAGCAGCTTGATTTGTCAAGATTTTGGCGAGCGCGTAGTCAATGCGGGTAGTTTTTATGATTATCAATAAGTGGTTAGTATGAAGTTGGTGAACCTAGGTCATTGTAAGTGATTCCAAAGCTAAAAGGCTCAGATTGTTTTAAAATGTATTCATAATTAAATAAAATAACTTCATTCTGTGTACTGGCAAATTGAGTTTTGCTCCATTATTAAACTCAATGCAAAAATTGTCTTGTCTTGAAAACCACAATTGCCCTTGTACCAACTTAACTCTGTTGCCATGGCCGCCAATTTGCGCATGTTTCCCAGGTTCGAAACCCGTCGTGGGCAATAAGAAGGTAAGGCATGCCAAGTAGAGACAACAATTGAAACTGTTTAAGAACACCTTTTGGTGAGGACAATTATGCTGTATCGTTGGGAAAACTTTAATTTTATATATAAATGAAACGCCCACAGGGACTGGAAGCGAGTGAAATCGGTCAACCAGAAAGAGGAGAAATGGATCTACGGGATCATGAGGGAGATCCGGATTGGAGGCCCAGTGGGATTAGCCAATTAAAAGAGAGGTAAATAGCAGATGTGATAGGGCCACACTAAACTTGCCAAAAAGGACATACCTTTTAGGGTGGACTGTAAGCAAGTGAGAAGTTGTGATAGGACGGGAGTTGGATAAGAGGGTAAAGAGTAGATAGATAGGCCAGTACAAAAAGAGGAGTGATAGTGTAACCGTTTTTGGCAGAACGTTTGTCGAGGGATTGACTTCACTTGTTTCTTTGACGAGCTCGTAGCTTGGTGAGGAAAATGGCAAAGCTCACTGATGATGCCGACTACGATGCCCGCGAGAAGTTTGAGAACGTACCAAATCCACTATCTGATGCTGGGAATCATAACAGCTACTATGGCAGACGACTTCAGACTAGGTGCGCTCTACTAAGTTGCTCTGACAACATTACCAAATTGCGACAACAAGGTCAACCCACTTGATATTTGAAGTTAATGATGAAGAAATCGGAAGGCCAAGCTCTTCAGAAGACGATGGCTGATTTCCGTTTGGCTTTAATACAACCTCCAGGTTGACGCAGCCCACGAGACATCCCCCCTCGTTTCGCTCATCAAGCCAAACAGACATACGACATTACGCAATCCTAATCCTGCTTTTCCTTCGTCATTAAATTTATATGACCCCAGACTAATGGGTTCTGACTGATGGTGTCGTAAGCTGACCTTCACGCATACAGGGTTACGTCTTATCAATTCAACCGGAGTTACTCTGGACAAATGTATTCTCGGTAATGCTTTTTTCTTGGGTCATTAAGACTTGATGACTATGGGCTGGCGTTAGGCTTTTGCTAATTACTCTGAGTTATGTCCGGTATTGCGTGCAAAAGTTAAAATACACACACAAACATATTAGAGTATAAGAGAATTGATTAGACCATTTTATATGTATCCATTTCTTATTATGTTGTAGCTATGAGTAGATACAGCATGAAGCGTAGAGCAGGCCAGTTTTCTTGACTTAGTGTTAACTGGGGACTTTTTCAATGATGAACTCCTGCTCTGATCATGTCCACCACTTGACGAACAGATCTTCAACTCGTTTTTATCTGAAACGATAGAGGACGCCATATTAAAGCCAAACTGCTGAAGTACAGCAAAAATCTGCCCTCATCTTCATACGAGATGAAAGTCTCCCCAACAATATTATCTTAAGAGATCCATCAACACCCAGTCACACTTCGTACCAATAAGCTTGTTTTCATATAGAAGAAATTCAACAATCAATCGTCAAAGCACTTTAAGCTACCTATGACGCATAAGTTTTTACTTATTTATTCATTATTTATCTCTCAGCGTAGAACGATGAACCAAACTCATTCGATATGTTGTTCAAAGCAAAGATCATAGGTCGATCTCACAATAAGACTATCGCCGATTTTTGTTGTGCTGCTTTGATTCAAGTGAAGAAGGCCTGGGCTTTCGTTCGTCATAAGACATAGCTCATTAGAACTGGAATTCTTTTTCGAAAGAGGTCTAGGTCAGGATCTATCCGGATCAAGCTTAGATGCTAATTCTATAACAATTAATTGAAATTAGTGAAATTACATTATATTTCACATAGCCCTGCTTTCCCACAATGTCTTCTCAACCAGGCTTCAGTGTCATGATTTGACTTTCGCTAGGGATGCTGAGAAGACTTAGGCGAGTTCATAACTGCGGTCTACTCCAGCCGGAATGAGAAGCTTTTTGGGAAAACGAGGCTATGTGAAATTCAATAGAAGCGTCAGCTCGACTCATATGATTGCGGGAAAATTAAGCTACCAATCCTTCATCACCGTAAGCGAAATAGGTTGAATACATCACCTATTACTGATTTACTGGTAGTCTCAAAATCCTACTCATAAGCACAAAATTTTTTTCATACTGACAAGAACAAATTTGGATTTGTATAACATCGTATGTATATAACATCTACTGACGTGTCAACGCGAAGTTTCAGCATTTTTAGAAGAATGCCAATCTTCGTCTAAATCGAAGGCAATGACACCTTTCTGCTGACCAATATTGCCATAACGACGAGGCATATTTCATTCAAAGCAACGCAATATTTGGGCATTTCTAACTGACTCACCAAAAGAAGAATTATTTCACCAGTTAGAAAACGTTGGCACTTTTGAGTAGCTTAAGACTTA